GGAGCGGGACTTTAGTCTTAAACCGCCCGGGCAGAGTAGACTAGAAAAGGGACAACAGAAGGAAAGGCACCAACACACAAGTGTGTTGAGTACCATTTCCTTCTGTTACCCTCATTAGGGCTAGAAGTAAGGCGAAAAACGAGGGGCAGGGAAACGAGCATCAAGAACGACCTAACAATCCTGAAGAAACACCCAACAAACAAAGAAACCGCAAGAAGGAAAGAGGGGAGGGGGTGGGGGTGGGGGTTCATTCTCCGTAAGCCCGGCGGCGTTTAGTGCGTGAGCCCGGCGGCATAAGGTTCAGTTGGAAACCAAACCATAATCCACGAACTCAAGACGCTGAACCAATTTGGGATACACGAAGGCTTCGGTGCCTCGCGAAAGGATCACACTGCGCACCCAAGTGTGAAAGCACAGCGAAACACACTAAGTCACAGGTTCATCCAGTGCCATAGTCCACAAGGAATGGAATGAGGGAAGCGCGAGGCGGTTGAGTCAGCAACAGTACTTGAAATGTTGGCAAAAGTGTTCAAACTCCCTCGCGACAGCGCAACTGCAGCAACTCTGCGGGGGGAGGTTTAGGGGAATAGCGTGAGAACCACCATGAAAACAACAAAACCGCGGAGGGAAAACCATTGGAGTCGGTGTGTTTGCGCAGGTACGTTTACAGCCCTCACCAATGGCCTCTTTGTTGGCCATCCGCCCCCTGCACATAAACAGCCCTGAGAAACAGGGTTTAACACACACACACAGACGACACACCGTCACACGATCTTCGAACGAACAATGGCCTTGCCAATTGGTTCTGGTGAGCCTTCGCCATCAGATGCGCACATGCGGGAATTCACCTTCCAGCTGGTCTTTGCCTCACGCTAGCCTGCCTGTAGCATCTATGAACATCTCTCACACACGACACACGACCGAAATCGCACCTTTTGATTTTCCCTGTAGGTCTGCAGCGACGATTGGGCCCCGGACTTTGTGTGGGACATCAAGCGCTCGGCGCTGACCCTCGGCTTTTTCCGGCGAAGGAGGGTCGACCTACCCATGTTTTTCTTCGTTGGACGGTGGAACTCAGCGGGCGTCCATGGCCGAAAAAGAGGGCCGACCGTTGACATGCGGAATGGGAACTGTAATTAGTTTAAACTGTATCGGTGATGGACTGGTATGTACGTAGTTTCAGTGGTTGTGATTTGGCACAAAACCTCCGTTGAGCACAACCTGTTCCACATTGGACCAGCGTTGAATGAAGAAAGCATCATTGGACCTACATTGAATGGAACCACGTGGAGTGCACAGGCAATGCGTATGAAAAGAAGGGCCACTAAAAACATTAAAAAAACAAAAACATGTCCTGCAAACATGGGTAAAACCAAACCCATCAGGTCAGACTAACATCACTTCATCGTTGTCGAGGTGTCCCCCTACTTTGCCAGCCGCTATGGCTTCGCAACGTCCTGCACCTCGGCCGCACCTCGCCCGCGTTCACTCGCTCGCGTTCACTCATGCATGAGTTCACTGGCAGCGAGGCCTGGTGGTGGCATGGAGTGGGGACAATCCCTGCTCCCTGGCGGGCTTGGGACTCCAAGTGCCTGGAGATGTGGCCATCTCCTTGGGCACTTCGGACACCATGTAACTGGGCGCATCACTGGAGTGGTCCTCACCTTGGAATGATGAACATCAAAGTGCAATCTCTTGGGTATCATTTCGATTTGCAAACCTCGGGCGTCAATGTTGGACCCAGGTAAAGTTTACTGTTTGCGCCGTCATCCCAAATCAAGATGCTTTCAGCAGGTGAATGGCGCCACCAAACAAAAGCCGAGAACAGTGTGGCGATTTCCATCTTGATCCCCTGACTTGGATTCTGAAGGGGGCCTTTTTGCAGATAATCTGTCAAACACAACCAACTCACCGACCCAGTTGAAGCCCGACAGCCCATGAAAATCCATTTCAGCATCATTCAGCCGCATATGCGGCGCTGCCAGGTTTGCGGTGATGTCGAAGGCTTCGCCTGGGGAGGATGGCATGGTGTTGCGGAACCCGGTGGATCCATCCTCTTACATGGGAGGCTTGGAAAAATCGATCAATAGTCGCATTTGAGTCGGTTCGAAACAGGATGAAAAAGGTAGGGGAGTGAGGGCCGGGAACGACTGGGCAGGTTTGTTTTCTTGGTGTTTCTGCTTCATTTGGGGAAGCAAATGAAGATTTTTGGAAAGGTGAACGGTCAAAATGATACATAGTGGCCGGTTTTATATCCTTCGATGTGGAGTCAAGACGTGTCAAGACCATTTGTTGAGATACCAGAGATCTCCCGGTACAATGACCATGCTTTTGGATCTTGGAAACCCATCTCGGTACCGAGGAATGCTGGTCTTCAAGAACGGCTCGCTGAGCCGGGAGCAGGTCCGAAAGGAGCATTGCGACGGACAGTGGGATCGATGGGAACAAATGTTAGTTCCCTGGCCGAACAGTTGTTGCTTCTGAAGGTTCGATGTGGATCGGAGAGCGGTGTGCGATGTCCATGGACCAGATCAGAAGTATATCCAAGTGAATCCAACTTGCTGTAAGCTACGGGTCAGGAACCATAGACCGTTAGATGACATGCGACGTCACATGCTGATGCTGCAAGGTTTAGTTAGCACTTGACTATGCACGGCATCGCCCCAATTCTTGAGGCTGAGACAGCACCGGGCAACGGCGGTGCTATTGGTGACTGGGCATTGAACGAGGGGAGGGGATCCTCCGGACTGGTGCCGTCACCGGATGTCGCGGTGCCTGGTGCCATTGTCATGTCTCCAACGTCGTCTTGGGGGGTGAATTCGACTCACTTGGGATCACTGGATCCAACATCCATCACGTAGTTCTTCCATACCACATCCAAGTCCATGTTCATCCACGTTCCAAGGCCAAGCATTGCATCACCCATATTGAGGTTTCTACTTTCATAGCCCAGAGATCACCCCGACCACCGGCGAGCAGTCCGGGCGCCAGTTGCAAGCAGAGTTGCAAAGCAGCTGCGCAGGCATCAGGCTGAGGTTGAAGGTAGTATGAAACGGTCCTACAGCAAGACAGCATGTGTTGTTTGCAGTAATCATACCGCAAAAGATGGCAAAAGTTCCCTCTCTTGGCAGTCAGAGGGCCACACCAACAACGAAATGCAGCAAGGATCTAGATATTGTGAAGATGTGTGTATGTATGTGTGTGCGCATCCATTCCCTTGGCAGTGGTTTCATTCATTGAGATCTGCTGCACAGGTTCGGCATTTTCCGCTTCGATGGAAATGACCAGGAGCTGACATGTTGTTGAGTATGCTATGCTGACTGAATCTAACTGATCGATACGTGGCCTTGAAACATCCTCACTGTCTATCGATGCCTCCAGATATTGCACGCACCGTGGCATGGACCGTGGCACGGTCAGTCCACCCACGATGACTCTGGAGGAAGTGGACAGCTTTCCGAGCTCCACTGAAGTACGGGCAGTGGTTGTCGCTGGGCTGCAGTCATCTATAGTGGATGCAGAAGTCATTTTCGGCTGACTCTGGGGATGCAGGGGAGTTTGATCGGGGATGACGCGCCGATTCTTTGGAAGTTGAAAGGGAGTCTTGGAGAATTCGAAGGGATAACCACAATGAATCATTTGCAGCTGAGGAGAGCAAGTTCCTGGCCATGAGGGGCTTCGCACAAGGGATTGGAGTCCTGGCCGAAAATTGGCAGCGAAGGTCGCGAAGGTTCTTAGCTTGGTTTTGGTTCCCACTGCCACCGGTGTAGGCCATGACAACTCGAGATCTTTGATGGACACCCCGAAACGGAAATGGGTTGCAGTAAGTTAAGTTTGGGTTTGTAACTTAGTTGACAGTTGGGGCACAGGTGAAAGGGACTTTTGTGGAACGACTAAATGGCGTTTGAAAGATGGGTCTGATAGCTGATGATTCCCTTCCAAGAATGTATTATATAGATCTTTCCGAAGACGGCAGTGACCCAAGACATCCTAAGGCCTGATCTATGCAAAAAGCGGCTTGCAATGGCACAATCCAATGCCTGTCTAATTTTACCCCTTTCTTTCTTCACAAGTAAATCTTTGTGGCCTCCGGACACTGAATCATTTTTCTCGGCCACCTCCGTTCATATCGTTCGTTCGTGAAAAATGAGGAATGGAGGAGGTGAAGCGGATCATCGCCACTGGCGGGGCCTCCTCCAACAAAGGCATCCTCCAAGTGCCCAAGCTTTCAAGAAACGGATGGCAGGGGTGTGGCAGGAAACATGCCTAGGAGACATAGGCTTACAACGCCTCAAGGAGGGCAAGGCTTCCTGGTTTTGGCCTTTACGTGAGCTCGTGCCATGCAGTGCTTTGGTGGTTGGATGTTGCTGTCAGTTACAACAAGACACAAGTTCAGTTCATACTCAGGCTCTTTGTCAGGTCAGTGATATGTTGGTTCTATCCCATTTCCACCCATGGCGGTCAAGTTGACAATTCTTTATGATGTGTTGAAAATATGTTAAACATACTTACAGTAATCATTCATCATCCAATAGACCAAGACCTGATTGGATTGTGTTGGGTTTTGTATATATATAATATATATATACATCCTTTAGCATCCCTTGTGGCCAATGACCTCGTCATCCGGTGGATGGCCAAACCCTTCGTCCGCTCGAACTCGGCCGTTCGGTCGAGTCGAGAACTCGACGGAGCGTGCCGAGGTGCTTTCGGATGTCTTCGATGTGCCTGCTACTTGGATTGACGCTCCAAAGAGTCGATCTAGAGCGTATAGAGATTGGTTTGATACACTGTTTGATACACTGTTTGATACATTTGGATCTGTTGATAGGAATACGTGTTGTATTTTTATGTATTTTTAACAGAGCCTCTTTGTGTGTTCCTGTGCTGGATGGTTGATCCTGTTTGGTCTTTCGATTCCTGCTTCGCCCCTCCGCCACCCTCCACCTTCCGGTAGACCCGGTCAGCGGACGCAGAGTCAACTTGAATATGCAGTAGTTATATAAGCAGTTTCCTGAAAGCAGTGTTTTTGAGTTGTTTCATTCTGTTTCCGGTGTTTTCACTGCAAGCAATCGTTTTCTTTTGACATGGTGGATGTTTGATTCTTTTGGTGGTTTGGTGTGGATTGGTTTCAACAAAAACATGTTTTCATATTACCATATAATTATTGCCCCATCCCTTCCCCTCAACACATGAAACAGGATGTTCTCAGCCTTCGGTGCCCACCCGCCGTCACAGGCTGCCTCCCTCACCAAACCGACACGTCCAACAGCAACAAATGGTTGTTCCGGATGTTCTGGCAATTGAAATCCTTCACACAGGAAATGGCTGGGACTGGTTTCCCAGGGTTGTGTTTGCATGTCTTCGACCCCCGGAAGTCCTGGTTGGACTGGAAGCGAAGCGCCAAATGGCGTCCGCGCGGACGCGTTGGACTCGACAAGGTCTTCACTCTGGAGCAGTCGGACTCTGCCTCGCTGGGCGCTGCGCTGCGCGCGGCGCATGGCTTTCGCTGCGCACAGAAAGGTGGAGCCGGTGATAGCAAGTGGTGAAGGGGTCCGGTGGTAGTGGGGAAAAGGTGGGAGGGGAAGAGATGGCACGATGGATGGTAGGATATGGTAGGACTCGTTCTGACTGGTTTTGTGATACTGAAGCAGATATGACTTGATGGAATCTTGTTTATGGATATATACTCGTGTCATAGCAAAGATGGGAAGCACGTGGGAGCCAGATAGAACACTGAATGCGCTTTCTTCTCGGAATCATGGTCCGGGGATATTGTTCTTGTGATTGGAGTGAGTAGAAGCCAAGGATTTGTAGCCTTTGCAGATGTGGTGGCTGGCAAGATTGACTACAAGTTGGCGGCCGAACCAGCTCCCGGTGCCAAGGACAGGGAGTGGCAGAGACTCTTCCGATTGGATCAGCATCACTGCGGCAAGCTGCAGTCTCCTCATTGTGAGGGTGCAGCCCTCCCAGATCAAGTCCAATCACATGTCTCATTCTGCATGCTTCAGACGCACATGTATCATCACCTCAAAGACACCGTCCTGTTGCTCCCACTTCATCACAGTCGGTCAACGTCCGTTGCGACGAAACGTCAGGAGGCCTATGCCCAGGCTTTATCACGGTACTTGCGCCTCCAGAAGCAGCTCTTGGAGCGATTGCAAAACGTGGCGAAGAAGCCGCGGGTCACCTAAGAGGCCGGCCAGCAAGCCTTGCTTTGATCATACATATTTAACTATTTCCGTCATTTACTATGATGCGTGATTTTACAGTGAATCATCCAGACAGTTTGGATATCAGGAACACGGTCAAAGTGTCCTTTTGATGGTCCAAATACACGCCAAACAGCCACAGATTACAGGACCTTTGGAATTGAGCCATGATGACGGGAACAAGCCAAACCTGCGTGTAAGCGTCCAGGCTCACGGTTCGTATAGCATGCCACCTGGTGGGTTTGCTAGCAATCACCTTGATGAGCAGAATAGCCGAATAGCCGCTGCCCAGTGTAATTATTTTGGGGGTGGGGTCAGTGTTTGAAATCTCATGAAAGAATTTGGCTAGCATGTATGCAGGTGGTCAAAATAATATCGCTCACATGCAAGGCTTGAGGACTGTATACAGAGCAAAATAGTTATATAGAAATTATTTCGAGGAATGGGTTCCAAATAATCTTGCTGTAAGCATGTCAGTGGCTCATTACATGTTGAATGTTTAGGGGTAAATTGATAATTCCGTCAGAGGTGGACAAGAGGGTCATCCACATCAAAAGTAATTTTCACACGGAATCTGCATGAATTTGCTTCTAGGTTGGAGGCCAGGAGGCCATCGCTAGTAGGTTGGAGGCCATCGCTACTGACCCCAGGATTTTGTCGGTCTACTATATATTTAGTAGGTGGTTGAGTCTGAAATCTGAAACCACTTGATTTGCTCAGATGTAGCTTTTGCCTGAGGATATTCCTAGGAGTTGCCCTTCCATATAATACCACCTAGGACCTAGGTGGTCTGCCTAACCACCTACCTCCAATCTTCTATCAGATATTTGCATAATTATTTCAGAGCTATCACACTACCAAATTAAATAAACAGGCAGCTGGGTGGGTGACACCACCTAAGAATAACACAAAAGATCATTTTAGAGGTGGTGGTACAGGGGGTGGCCAGCTGGCATGCCCTATTGAGCAGACTGCTGTTTGAGACATGTGACATATGGGAGTTGATCGAAAACCCCGTGTAAGGATTTTTCATAAAACAGAGCCTTTCAGATGTTGTTAGAACCATCCGCGAAAGATTTATTGAAGGTCATCGCTTTCACATGTTTTCCTTTCTACCGGACTGACAAAGAATAGAAATACAAGGCAATCCTCCGGCAGAGCCGGTGGGCGGAAGTGAACCATATGTCACAGACAAACGAACTGAAGCCTCAACATTTCCGTGCCCTGCCCTGGCAGTGCATAAAGGATTCTCCGATTCCTGTCCCCACTGTCACAGACTAGCAACCTGAGTAGGCACAGCCCTGGCAGTGAGGCAACGACCTGCAGCTGCTCTGATGGGCTGTGAAGCACCAGGGAAATTTCGCGAAAGATCCGCGAAAGCTTCGCGAATGTGCCGCTAAAGTCCAGGTTCCCAGCTTGAGGCCCCCCAACACTCCCCAACCTGCATCGCCTTGTAATGGTAGCTGGCACGAAGATTGGGTTGAGTTGTGCCTGATTCTATTTGGCACAATTGCCGCACAGATGCTGCAAGTGACCCTGAGTTGCTGCAAGATGTCTGTCCCTATTTTGTGATACTATGACATGTTCCGGCTCACGTTAGCTAGACATGGTTGTAGGACCATGCTTCACGATGAGGCCGCGAAAGATCCGCGAAAGATATTTTTGTCCGCGAAGAATGGCCATTGATCAACCACCATATGTCAATTCAAGACAGGAAGCTGATGCAAGCTGTTTCTAGGCAAATTCGTTACCATTGACTCCTTGATTTCGCGCCCCCCCCCCCCCCACTTCAGGCCTGGATCTGCTCAATGCCGAAGATGCCCATGGATTTCCGAAGACGCCTCATCTGCAGCGCATTTCAATGAGTCGCGTCCGCCTCATGGTGTATATATTCATTGTGGAACGTCCAGCAGTCCACCAAAACAGCGCTTTTGCGTGCTGTGCAGGCTGCGCGCCCTTCGACACGCTCGCTCGCGCACGAAACGCTGGCGCATTTTTCGCCGAGGTCGCTATTTTCTGAGTGTTTACGGGTCACTGTGTCCAATTCATCTTCCTGCAAGCGACGATGTGTTGACGTCACCCGTCAAAAAAAACACACCTTTTGTGGAACGAAAAGACAAACAGACAAAGTGTGGTGTTGCTTTCGAGGCAATAAGGGTGTGCTGAGACTGAGACTGCTCGATTTATGGCATTGCATATCACGTTTTGGCAGCCAAGCAAGCACATCCGTAACAGTCAAACAGAATGATAACACGACTGGGAAAACATAAGCGGATTTAGGCATGGTTCCCTACTCAAAGACTTGGGGGTGGGAGGCTTTAGCAAGCCTAAACCAGGCTGAGAAGTTCTCAGTGCAGGGGTGGTTGCATCTAAAGCCAGCTGGGTCTCATACTTGGCAGTTGGACACCTTCACAACCGCCTGGAATTCTGGCTCAACACTGCAGGTTGAGCATGCAAGCTCCCAGTGGGGAAAAACCCCTACCATGCCTGAACTTGTGGCAAGAGTGGAGGTGTTTCAGGTTCAATAGGACTATCGTTGTAAGAAGTTGTGGAGAACAGACTTTTTTCTGTTCAATCAGATATCATATACACTCGCACAGCAGCGACGGTCACGTCTAGTCTAGTGTTTCTGTCCCAGATGCAACCCCTATATCCAAGCAAGCGGAGGCGACACACTACATCCGAGCCTAGATGAAACTCGGGATCCAATCTGCACCGTGCGACCCTAGCATGTCATCAACCCTTACATGCGATTCTTCAAAATAGCCCGTCCCAACAAGGTCCCAAATGGTCCTGGACCGGTTGCACACACCAGCGGGGGAACTCAACAAGCCACACCACCGACCGGTCGCAGATTGCAGACGAAAACAAAAGAAATCGAGACTGACATCGCGACCGACCGGAGCCTTCGACCAGCGACTGGGACCGAGAAGGGACTGGGACAGATGTTGATGGGTTGTTGGTTCGAGGTTTCTTCGCGGGTGGGGTTTCGATGGTTTCCGTTTTGCGCCTGAAATGTTGGATTTTGCGGCAGGGTTCAATCTACAAGGTCACCTGGTCACATACTTTGAAAAGTATTTAGAGAAGCATGAGCGGTATCCGTATGAGTCAAATCATGTGAAATCCCTTCGTGACAAACTAGTCACGTACGCATGCAAGCACAGACCCACAACTCAATGTTAGCTTCGTCGAACGGAGTTTATGACACCCAAAGATCCTCCTTTCGGAAAGCCCCCAAAGGCTCCCCAAAGTCTGAACCACATCAAGCGAAAATCGCTGGTTACCAGCTGGGGACCTATAATCGAATCAGGAAGGTCCCGGCGTATCCGACGTCTTCTTCGCGCCGGCTTTGCCCGAACCGAGGCTTTGCCGGGAAACCACATGGGAATCGATGCGCCCCGCGCGTTGCGGCAGCTGCGCGCCGAGGAGCCGGCGGCGTCAAGGAATGGTCCGACCAGGGTGGACCCTGAGGATCAGAAACTGCAGAACTTGGTGGAAGGTATGTTAACTTCAATACCCAGACGCTCCATGGGACTGCCATATATGCCGCCCCATTGACCCCCCAAACCACCCCAATGTAGGCATATATGGCATACATGGAGTGTCTGGGATATGTTTAGCACCAAAACTGTTTTGCAGGCCCTTATGTTCTGCTCACACCTTCCATTTTGCCTCCAGTTTGCGGCCAGTGTTGGTCAGAAACCAGATGTCACACGTTCTTGTTGGCTTCTTTAGTCGGCTAGTATACGGGTGATGCCCGACTTGAAGATCCCAGCGATGCGATATCTCGATATCAGTCGCGACCAGATACTTGAGAAGAGGAATATTTAACCCAGACGCTCCATGTATGCCATATATGCCTGCATTGGGGTGGTTTGGGGGGGTCAATGTAGGCATATATGGCAGTCTCATGGAGTGTATGGCTAAATAAATAAAGGTAGCTCGAAAGTTGGCACAGTTCAACGTAAGGTGAATAAAGACCTAACAGCCGCTCAATGGACTCAAGCCCCGCTCAATGGACTCAAGATGTCCGACTGCAAAAGACGAGTCGCTGCGGCAGGAATTGGGGTTGACGACTGGAGTCGTTTGAAAGCGGGTTTTGAGCTTTCTCACCGCAGGTACCAGTTGGTTGAAATGCTGGAACGGAGAAGGCACAACTGTTGCTGAAGCAAACCTTGAAAGGGGCATAACGGGGCAACATAATGGACGTTGCAAAGAACAAATTGCATTAAGTTCAGAGTAGGTAAGCCCAGCTGGACCATTTTGGATAGGGGATTCTAATTTTCCATCATCATGGCCCTGACAAAAATGATGCATACTCTGAACTGCAGGCCTTCTCAAGTTCACGTGTTTTTGCCCTGAACTTGCGGCAGAGGCCGTTCGCCAAGGCATGAGACTCGCAACGAGAGCCCAAGAAATTGCCGCCGTAGCCAGATTTTTATAGGCAGCAACGCTTCTGCCCACCGGATCAAGGCCCGGTGGGTCTTTCGGGATGCGACAGGAATGGTGCCTTCAGACGTGTTATTCACCATCAAAAAGCCAGACGTTTGTGCGTGGGTCATGGCACCAGTGGGCCAGGAGGCGAGCCATCGATAGGGGACATCCAAAGAACACAGCTCAAGACTGTACATTCAGGGGACCGAGACTCCCATGCCATTTTTCTTCAACTTACCCGGTGAAAAAAAATACAAAACTCTTCCACGCCGGGCGACCACCGAAAGAGGTGTCTAGACACCTCAAACCGAGTGGACTCTCTGCGACTGCAGAGGCTCACAGGGCCATGGAGAAAGCTGATTTCAACCTCGATGACCTCAAGGACCCTGAGAGGTTGAAGATGCTCTTCATGAAGAGCCTCGGCCTAATGTGAATGTGTTCACGATGCGATTTTTCATCAAGTCGTTCAGACGTTCGGAACGGATTGAGTATAGGGATGCTGGGTTACTTCATATATCTTCATTAGAAGAAACACATATATCTTCATTAGGATGGTGGGTTACATATGTTCTTCATATATAGGGAGTAGTGATGAGTAGTGTTTGTTTTCGTTGAAAAATAAACTCTTCGGAGTCTCCAATCCCCGTGCACATGGACTCTGAACGGGACGGGGTTGACATCCTGGAATAGCTGTAAAAGCTGCGCTTTTCTGGGTGAATTGCAGTTCCTGGACCTTCCAACTACCAAACAAAATCTGGTTGTTTTGGTTTTATGGTCGTTTTGGTCGTTTTGTGTGTTTTGCATGCTTTTGCGGGTTTTTGGTATCGTTTGCTGGTGTTTTGCGTGCGTTTTGCGCTAATTTACGGTCGTTTTGTCGGTTGCGCTGATTTCCGGCCGTTTGCGTGGAAAACCGGGTCAATAACCAAAACTATACAATATGTTTTTGGTCGTTGGAAGATCCAGGTTTGGCATTTTGCAGAGGGGTAAACTGGTAAACTGATAGTACAGCATGCTGACCTACAAACAATGTGATTTTGTGTTCCCTTTCGGGTATTCCGGTTCAAGGTGTCTTTAGGCACGCTGGGACCCATTGTGTAGAAAATAGGTTCTCTGTACAGAATGAGTTTGAACAGTTTGTTATGCCCCTTCTCTACAGGATGCAATTGGTACTGGTACCTTTCAGAGCGCTCATAGGTCGTTTCTTTGTCAGATCCCTAGCCTGCCCCCTTTGGAAGTTTGACATTTTGTAGTCACTTGTGCCAGGCATTCTGTAGACTGCTCTTTACAGTAGACGCCTTGGGCCCCACTTTTCGTGTTCTTATCTACACAATGGAAAACACAACTTCACCCCTCTAGTTCCAAGGGGGATTCAAATCTGTCAGTTAGACATCAAATTGACATAAATTGTCAGTTTTTCAGGACCTTCAAAGCGACCTCTTTGTTCATCTCTATGTGACCTGTGCAGGTCCTTTTCCGAACGACCGTCTTTTCCGATCTTCGCCAGGTACGCGAAGACGGAAGCCTTCAAGGTCTGGGGATGTTTCCTGCTGGTGACCTTTACAGCCCCTCCGCAGTCGAACGAGTCGACACCTCGACACCCGTCGGTCCGGAAGACGCGACCCCAACGTCGGTCCGGCGCGTGTTTTGGGTCGGACTCCGTTTGAACGCCATTGGCCATTGGCCGCCCATTGGCCCGTTCTCTTGATAATATGTGTTGTCTTGGGGTGAGCATGGGGGAGCCTTGGAAAGATCGGGAGCATGCGTGAGATGTTTCAAAGGTTTTGTAGGGACTACGGATTACGGGGAGTCTCAAGCTTGGTTCATCTCAGTTAGGCCTTTGCTTCGCTCACGAGCTTTCGAGTTTCATCCGATTGATCCATGAGACTGGAGGCGCACCCACAAAACCATGCCATTCCATTTTCTGCATGTTCATTTTGGGTTGTACCCCCACCAACAGATCATGCGCCCCTTCTTGGGGAGTCTTGCCCTTTCTGAACGAATCTATCAAGTGGGAATCCTCAGTGAGGAGATACCCCCTCAAGACATCTGAATCGTTTTCAAAATGGTCAACATTTATACTCACCCTGCAAACCGTTTTAGAAGGGCCACTCATTTGTGGACCTCGTTTGACCTGACCTCGAACGCCGAGGTCTTCATGCTTTTCTCCAGTGGTGACTTCTCCTTTCTCCTCACCTTGTCATCCTTGGCTTCTTGGAGCCAAACACAGTCCCGTTCTTGCGACAGATGGCTGGGGAAAGTAGATCCGTCAAAAGACAGGAAAGCTGCAGGGAGTTTCACTTTCGTGCTTCCGTGTCCGAGAGACACCTCTGTTGGAAGAAGCTTCTACTAGATTTTGGAGACGAGTTTTGGAGAGATTGAGTGAGACTCCCCAACAAACTTCACCCAGAAATCTGTGGTATAGTTCGACGGCTGATGGCTGAGTGTGCGAAACTGGACGCGTCCAACATGTGGCACTGAAGAAGATGCTTAGATGTTCTCCAACAAAAAAGCACAGAAAGGACACTCGAGGCACTCTGTCAGTTTACCCTTTGATACTCCAACAAACCTTGACGGGCTGAGTCCGACTGATTCAGGTGAGTGTCTTTAGCTTCCTCATGGTCGCACTGAAGATCGAGGTGGGTACGGTTTGTCTCGACTGGGGCTGGACAGTGGGTTCGGTTGAAGTGCGTGCGTGTTTTCAACGGACCCTACATGGCATGGATGGCTCATCAATATAGGACGTGTCCGAATGTGTCTGATTATCTGCTGTGAAGCTGTGAAAGCTGCCTGATGCTTCTAATCTTGTCGCGCATGAACATGTTGGCAAGCTCTTGAGATCCTGAGGCAGGCAGGAGTTGCAAGGGAGTGTCCCTCCGAATGATGGAGTGTGCCTTGGCCGAGAAATTGTCCCTTGAAGACACCTGCTTGGGTGAAATCCAGCTCTGCTCTGGTACTGACAAAAGGCAACAACTCCTGCTTCTTCGCCATTCCGCTTCTGTGGTGACAATATCACCAGATGGCAGTGGCCATGCTTTAAAGGTATTCCGTAAACTTTAAACATTGAATCGACGCGGTGGAGAAGACACACGGATTTGCCTAGGATGCATTTCTAGAGGCTATAGTATGATGTGAAGATCCCAGCTACGACGTTGCAAGGTCTCCCAGACACTCCATGTATGGCATACATGCTCACGGCACCACCACCCCAAGTGATCGGCATATACATGGCAGTCCCATGTGTCATGTCTGGGTTTGCTGACCTGGCAGTCCAGCCGCTCGCCACCACTCAACCGAGCGTGACGCCGCACGCGCAGCGCGCTGAGCGGCGTGGCTGAGGCTATCTTGCCATCTTCTTCTTCCGCCTTTGTGCGATCGTTCCCTTTGAAGGCGGTGCCATGGGTGTCGTCATGTTCTTAAGTGTCGCAGCCCTTTAGCTACATTTGTAGCTACACCCACGATGCTTGTCTTCGGTCTTACTGTATGAAGTTCAAGTGTGCATCAACTGAGCGTTCCATGTCGAGAGATCAAAATAGACGTAGTTTGACTCTCATTGAATCGAGCCCATCATCTCATCCGGGCTTGCCATGGCTCGAGGCACTTCCAGGCTCTCCACCACCACGCCACTTCAGTTCACTGAGGGAGGCTTTTCCACGTCAGGCTACTTGCCCTTCGACAAGAGCGGCGACTGGTTTTACCAGACCTGCGAGGCCCTAGGCTTCTGCTTGGCCGGGACCATGGTGTGACTCGGCTTCAGACGCGACGCGACGCCCGTGAAGGGAAGTGGGGTCCTGAAGAGGAGCGTGTTTTCCGACGCGGTCTGGGGAACCGGAAACCTGGCAGAGGCGCAACTCGGTGGTTTGGGGTTCAAAGCATGTTCAAAACATATGAAATCATGGATCATTGTCAATCATGTGATTAATATTCCTTTCAGCCGACGATTCGATGTGAACTGCATGGGTTGACAGAACTAACCACAAACTGCAATGCAAGCTGAAGGTCTCATGTGCTACTAACAATTGGCCAGTACTAATAGCCAGTCTTATTCTTGCTGCTAGATGGACTGGGCTTCGACTCACCCACCACAGGTTCGTGTATAGTCACCTAATTGTGGATGATCATTTTGGGTGAGAAGAAGCATTTGACGGAATCCTTTCAACCATCCAAGAACTGCCCCACTTGGTTCACTCTCCTGTAATCCCCACATCTTTTTGTGGCGCAAAAAGACATGAAATGAAGAACTCCAAGGTACTTCTGCCGCATGCGCTATGCGGCAACCTATGATCCCGACACCGACAACTTCCAGCATCACTGGCTGGCCTTGGGAGCAGCGGGCCTGTGCCTAGGATGATGTGAAGAGATGTGCAGTGTTCAACCCTAAGATCTGTCAGGATCTACCAACCTCACAGGAGATGTTTGGTAAGAACAGTTCTTATCAACCAAGAGATGATATCACCAACCCTAGCAGTAAGGATGGTGTGAAGAGATGGATGTAACGTGACGATGTGGGACGATACCTGGCAGGTCGTTTCACCATGTTTTATAAAAATCTCACACAGGTTTCAATTGGATGTGCATGTTTTTGTGACAAGCCAAGTTTCCAGCTCCATGTTGCATGAGTGATGGTACACGCCTGGTTGAGAGTTCCCAGCAACTCATGCAGGCGAAACGTCCTCTGGGAGGTGTATGCAGTGACATGCTTTGACATGATTACGCCGGTCCAAGCACGGTGAGGACCCACCGAACCCCCCATGGCATCCTACATACTTGGAAATACATGGATTGACTTAAGTCTCAGAGTTACTCTTCAGTGAATCGTTTTGCAGTTCTCAGCACTTCAGAATCCCCAAACCATCGGTCCTTTCTGTGATTTTCGGCCCGGCCTCGCTGTCAGACGCGAGGATCTTGCATAGTCGGACCTCCTTCATCCTCCTTCCCCAAGTCACGCGTTGCTTCGCACGCCGCGCGGCTGCTTCGACTCGGTCAAGTCGCCGCGACCAAGGGCCTTGATCTTTCATCCAAACTTGAACAATTTCCTCCCCTCGGACACCAGCTGGGCCTTTGCCGTTTATCTGGAATCGGTGGCTGCTCCTCAACTGAAGCAGAGAGAAGTTGAGGCAGACGGACTCTGAGGCATCGGAAGTTCAACGTTTTTTCTCCTATCGACTTAGTTCGATTTTCTTTCGATTTTCTCGCATAGTTGAATTCCTTATGAGTTTGTCATGAGTTTGTAAGTCCTCATGGGTTTGCATATGTTTGCATCATGATATATCTAGAACTTTTTTGAAACTCGATCATTTCTGATGCTGCGAATCTCCACAGCCTTGGCTCGTGACAAAACAGAGAGACGAGGTTCTTTGCCAGCTCTTCATGTTCATGAAGGAAGGCGCAGAAGCTAGGGGAAAGCAGTCTTGGTTGTTGATTTGTTTGGGTGAAAAACAGAGCTTCGCATTGTTGAGGGGTTGAGACATCTAGGTAAGGTGTCCTTCTATTCCGGCACCGGAGTCTACAGATCTCGTTTTAGCTAGGACCACACCAATCTAGGCCCGAGAAATGGATCAGACCGTGTTCTCTCGAGGTTTGGTCTCAGCGTTTTGAAGACCGTTGACATCCATTGACCCACTTGAGGATCTTGAGTATCGCAAGAAACTACGAGTAAGATGAGTAAGGGGCTCCTGGCCTATACTATTCTAATAGCTTCTTGTTACCACTAGTAAGGCACTTGTTACTAGTAGCGATGCACTTGTTTCTAATAGCTTCTTGTTACTACAAGATAGGAACAAGGATGCGAACCGTTCGGGGCTCATACCCGACCCGTCGCTCCGTCGAAGCGTCGACCCGTTGCTCCGAGCGGGTTGCGGAGGCCAGGCGGCTCCCCACACCTCGCACTTCCTGGCGGCGCAGGTCGGTTGGTGGCTGCCGGGGTCGACCAAGAGCACGAGATGATGTGAGGAGAAGAACGGATGTCAACATGTGTCAAGAATCTAGAATCTAGCAACTGGATGATTACATATTCCGAGGTTATGCATCGTTATATATATATATCGTTATGCCTAGACCCTTTGATTGCTTCCAGTATTTCTTGTTTCACCCCACAACCAACCAGCGGTCTCTGGAATGAGCGGTTCGGAGATGCCGAGTTCTGGTGAGGGCGCATGCGGGGGATGGTCCTGACCATACAAAGTCCTACTACAGGACTGTAAGGACTGTCTTGGTTCGACTCCCCAGGGGATACATCGGACTACTCACTATACTCACTATATAACTACTACAGTACACGAATTTCAGCATGAAAAAGGCACGACGGGGATTCTTTCTTCCGGGTGGAGTGGGTTTTAGCGTCAGTCTTTAGCGTCTAACCACGCCAGCCAGAAAGCCCCATCACACAATTCATGGGAATTCCACTGCAAAAGAACGCAGAAGCAGATCGATGATTGATGCAACAGAGTTCAACAAATACGTCAAAAGTAACGCCCTGCGCAGGTCGAGCTCGAGCTCGGGCGACGATGATCGGTCGACGTCCGTAGGGTGTCAGCGGCCTCGGTTCGCTCGGTTTCGGTTTCGGCGTCCTGACAGAGCTCGGTCTCGTCCTGAGTGGCAGGCCTTGTCGAAGATCATGTCCTTCATTTTCTGGGCTTCCTCCTTCAATGAGCTCTCGACGCTCGGTGGTGCACCGCATGTTTCATGCCCAGCCTTGGGAGTAGGGGGAGTGACATTTGGAGAGCAACTGCAGCTGCCAAAGTGAGGTAAGGTCAGGTTGTAAGCTTTGTCCCAAGATATGGCACTCCACGGAAGCAAAATATGAAGCAAACTAGATAATCCTTGCTAAATAGCATTTGGAAGTTGAGAGCTATGAAAGCCCTTTGAGTTGCTATTGCGTTGGTGTATATTTGTTTGAGTCCGTTGGAAGTGGAAGACAGCCCTGCCTCCTGGCGGTGCCTTTGGCCCTGAGGAACCCGAACCATACCATTAAAGCCTTCGTGGGCAATTGGGTGGTGTGCACCCAACTGGTACAGCTTTGTGCTGCTTGGTCTGACAAATTCACTTCAGGAGGCTTGATGGCTGTGGGTCAAAACCAGGATACCTTGGTTGGCCTGCATGGTGTTGGGGCTCCAAGTTTTGACCCATTCCCATACTCTGTGTTGTTGATTTCCCCCTTGGTGACAGATCTCAATGTCGAATTCTACGGGCGATTGCTTTGTTCGTCTTTGGGGCTTTGCTTCCAAAGATGTTTGCCAGCATGCAGCAGCACCTGGACAGCTGCAGGTTCCCTGCTCTCCACAGCTCCACCGCTGAGGTCATGGGCGACTTTATCTATCACTACATCCGATGCATCCGCCAGGCCGGAAGTGCTGGGTAGGGGTAGTAGCTGGTCCCCTTGTTTTTGTCCTAGCTTTTGCATGGAAAGCGCAGGATGACACTGGCATCTGGCAATGTCGGATGTTGTCCCCTTTCATGTGTCTTCCTCCAGGGCGTCGCCCGTTCCCATGACCATCAGTTGGTGCTTCCCATAACAGGGCGTCCGCTAGAGGCTGCCCATCGGAGTTCCCTCGAGCGTAACGAGATGCAACCAGTGAGTTTCCTTGCCACTGGTCTGGCGAAGGGGCCTTGTGTCCGATGGAAGCAACCGAAAATCCGAGAATCTGTGGCGGAGGTGTCTTCCCGTGCAGCTTGAAGATCGGAACTCGGAGCACCATGGACCTCCCCATCGTTTGTCCGTCTCAAGGTTTCTACGACTTCCACATGAGTCTGAGTGTCCATCAATCACACTATGCAAGTCTCTATATATTATATATTATATATTATTTATATTATATTATGCACAATAATCCCTAGTACTATTTAAACGCTGCCCATTAAAAAAGCAAAAACAAACTCATGTCGGAGACCCCTAAATAGGGTGTATATTTGTTTGGAGATAACCACCCTTCAAAACTGCTACTAAACTACCAACATGGCCGATTTTGGGGAAGTTGTTGTTTTTTGAATAGGTTCCCAAAACAACCCTAACTGTCCACCTTTGTCCGCCCTGTTTGTCCACCATGGCACTTTCCACCGAGGTCGCGCAAAGCCGCATGGCACAGCGATATCACCTTTCGAAAGCTTTACTTGTTAGTCTAATGAGAAATCACTATATTGTAATAACGGATAAGAAAGGATATGTGTAAAGGGAAAAGGACATACCCTTTGATCTTGAGTTGTTTGTTTCTTTTTAGTGTTGATGCGAGTTTCCTAGGATTTTATATAAAACTTTCCTGAGCGACTCTTCTTGTTTGAAGCTCTTCCCAGGTGTCCATTTTTGCAGGTCCCTCCCTAGGGGGGGGCGTGTTTTGTAGTAGGTGGAAGGGAATATATCCCTAAGTATCACATGAGTGACGAGTCGCGTTTCACTTTAAACGGCCGCCAGGGCATTCCGGTGTCCCAGCTGCTTTGCTCGGACAACGTGTGACGCGGTCACGGCGGTCACCGCTCCGCATCGACGGCCGCTGGAGCTTCCGAAGCGTCATAAAGAGACCGGCGCCGTCACCACGATGCACAGAATCCGAAAAGGGGCGTGAGAACTGGATTGGCTTGGGTGGTTTTCTTGTGCCTGGATGGTGTCTTTTTTGTGCTGGTTGTGATCAAGATAGCAGGCCTGCCTAGCAGGCCTGCCTAGCATGGATCAGTGGTGAGATGATTCGAAGTTCGGGCATGGCATGGCTGCCACCCCTGAGACTTACTTAGGTTCTCAGGCGCCATGGCACGCGCCTCTTCAGGGCATCGATTTCAAGCCTTACAGGATCAATGAAACCTGTGGCTCCATGGCACTGGCGACCCTGGTTGTCCAGACTCATACTCACGTCAGGGAGGTCAAGCTACTGCTCCACGTAAGCTCTTCAAAGGATTGGTATCATCCAACATGTCCAAGTGACCTGGTCATCCCAACCGGGCCCAACCGGGCCCAACCATATCTCTCCAATCGAGACTGGTCCACCACACCGCACCTCTTCCCACCTCGAGACGCCAGGAGCTTCGTCAGCTCTGTCGAGAACAGGGCTTGGATCATCGAGGTCTCAAGGGCGATCTCATCTCCCGCCTGGCCGGCTTCCGCGCGGAGGCCGGAGCGCGGGGTTTGGGCCCAAAGGGAAAGCGAGGCCAAACCGCCAACCGGGAGGCCAAACCGCCCACCGTTTTGGGGGTTCGGCGGAGAAGGGACTTCCGCGGTTCGGCGTGGTGTGTAGTTCCACCGGTGGTGGGTTGGTGGGTTGGCGTGCGCGACGAAAGAGACGGAAGACATTGGAAGAAGGGCGTAGGTCACTTTTCTGTTGGGTGTGTTGGGGAATGTTATCTTGATCTGCAATCTTTTGAGGAGATGTGTGATGTGTGATGTGTGTGTGTGCGTTCCTTCTCAGAAATTCACCTGCTGAAATACATCAATCTCAAGCTCTAAACTTAGGCCCAATGAAAATACCACCGCGGGTGAAAACAATGTTGAGAAAAAAGGCTGGTGTTGGAGGGACGGGCACAAAAGAATATGCAATCGTGGCTGCAGCTGAGGGAAGTTTCTGCACAGGCATTGTGGCATTGCTGAACAACTTCTACTCCTCGTGAGACGTTTGTTATGACCGCTGAAGCTATCGTGGATCAATCTTGAAGCAACACCAATTGTACTCATAATTGTTTTGGCGACATTTTGTTGGGGTGGCTGTATGACATCATTTCCTGATTACCCGTGCCTTCCTTTGTACAGCACTTTTGTTTGGCACACCCTTTTCTTTTAACACGTGCCCAGGAAATGAACGTGTTTTCATGAGGAAGCGTGATCGCTCGTTTGATCGCGGACATTCGCGGTATCCGGAGGCCGTGGGCGATGCGTGCGACGCTCAGTGATGGGGACGTAAAAGAGGTTTCCAAAAAGGACATCCTGTCTGGGTGTCTAATAGACTACCCTACACTGCTTATATACCTCCATTGGACACCCTGACAGGGCCCTGACAGGATCAACCCAGGTAGTCATGCCTGACTTTGTGCCTACATACCGGTATGTCTAGTACTTCGCAGCTCTGGGGGTAATTACTCAATTCCCGGTTTTGTCGGATAGATGCTGGAAGCAAGTAGCTAACTAGTAGCTGCTTTCTTTTAGAGCAACATGAGGTCAACTTCCACGCAAAGTCAGTCTTTCGCCGAGATGCAATCAATATTATTGTGTTAGTACTTAGTGCGAAGCGGAGATCAGCTCGGATGCCACATTAGCCACATTTGCATTGAATGAAATGAATAGATAATAGATATTGGAGAGGTTAACTCCTGCACATCCATTCGATGTCCTTGCGGCAAGTCCATCTTCTGAGCGCGATTGGTCGAATCGCCTGACACGGATTGACATTGAAACTGACCAGCCTGTCATACATGAACCAGCGTGAATAGGATTGACCAGCCGGTCGCCAGAGTATGCCGACTCGTGGCCGCAATACGAAAGACTCGACTCGTGGCCGCAGACACGAGACGCTGGGGCGACCAACCCGACGAGACTCGCCAGATCTCTCGGTCTCCGACGTTTTCCTCAGGACGTCGCCCAAGCAGAGTCCGTCTCCCAAAGGCGCAGCAGGGGCCGCATCGGTCGGACCGGTGCCGGGAGACCGGACTGGAACTGAACAGCCAGGTTTGGAGGCGAAGCATGATACATAAGGCTCCAAGGGGTGGTGCATAGATATATTAGACACCCCAAGATGGGGCCCTGGTATACAACATACATTGATCCTTAAAGCATCTGAAGAAGCACAAACACCCAAGTCTAGGTCTACATTCCGTTCCCATGGCCGCTGCGAGACACGTGACACCCGCGCCGCTGAGGCGGAGGCGGCCGCGCTTCCGGGCGAGGCCGTGGACGTGGACGTGGTTCCAGGTCGAAGGCCAGCGAGGTATCGATGGTGCCGGGACGCCCATCGCGAGCCGGCCGTGGAGTTCTTGATGGGGTGCAAAGAAATGGCGATGGGTTGCACCAAGAAAGCTTGGAGGTCAAGGGATCGTTAGAGCACTGAGCTCGATGGAGCTCCAAAGACGAGGAGATTGACCCCAAATTGTTCCCATACAATATATTGCTATATACCTAGCGCTTCCGAGACCTATGCCTTGGAAGCAGCTGGCATATTGTTACAAACTTGAGACAGCAGTGAGGAAAGTCCACTTACAACTGGGTGTCTTCCAAATAGCAACTGGGTGTCGGCTTGGTGATGGGATCGTTGGGTCGCGTTGGGCATTTGATATGTCATTGCATAGTGCCATTTTGGACCAAACTTGTTTGTTAGCCCGCCGTTGTCACCAGTCGTAGGCTCAGCTACATCAAACATTGTTCAAATTACAGGAGTTTGAACGATTTCTTTTCGCCTCAATTGAGGCATGCCGATTTGGAGATATGATTCTCAAGGGGACATTGATTGTTGTTCTGACGATGCGTCAGTTGAGACAGAGAGGCTAGATCAGATGTGTGTCTCAAACAAACTTCAAAGGATAAGTACATGGGTTCCAACTTATGTGCAGGTGGCATGCTCCTGGAAGGCTTCATTTAACCTTGCATCAAAAGAAATGTTTGGAGTTTGGCGCAGACTTTACTGATGCCACTGGTGGGACTCCCAGCAGAGTGTTTAGTTTTTTTTTAAACGCCGCTTTTCAACCTTTCTCTTGCAATGTCTTTTCATGTCACTTGCATCAGGTCTCGTAGACCACTTAACGCCGATGGGACGACAACTGCGGGTGATCACAGACTGCTAGGGGCTTATATTAATGAATAAAACAACTGTTTTTTGGAGGTTCCAAGTCATATCTTATCAGGTTCTGGGGCTGAAGCTCCTATGGTTGCTTTGCACCTCATGCTTGGCACAGACTTTGTTGAGCATTTGCCCAGACCTCAGCAAATGCTTTGTTCCCCTCAGGGCTGCAGTTTTAATGTGCGTCGCTACACAAATTAAGGTCTGCCTGTGACATTGCAAAAGGCCCCCAGGAGTACATCAAAAAGAATTTCCCAAATGCAGAGCCAAAGCCTCGACTTTTTGCTATTCTTCTTTACTGTAACTTCTTTTGTTCTTGAGTTCAGGTTGCACACAGATGTATTTACCCGGGAGGTTGACAAGTTTGTTGGCCAGGCGCAACAAAGGAAGTTGCTCCAAATTTAATGAGTGTAAATTCAACAACCTTGTTTGTGTTCATTTGTGGTTGGAAGGCTGATATATACGTCGCCGGATTCCCATGCAAAGCTTTCAGCCGCCTGAGAAGTTTCTCACTATGGCTTCAAGACCCACAAGCCAAGCCCTTCTATGCTTGCGTGAATAACATCAAACGCATAAAGCCATGTGTATCCTGACGTTATAGTATGGACAATTTGGTGTATAGCTTTCGCTAGCATTCCTATCCTCCCAGTTTCTTTTGATCTAAGGCATGTGTGTTGGAGAATGTACTTGGGCTTGCGACAGTCCTGCCAGAGATCAAAGATCATTTGGCCAAAGAGTTGCCAGAGTATGACATACACATCACAATCCTGTCCCCGTAATTCAGCTGAATCATCACAGTGTGATATTGAAGACCTTTTGTTTGTCTCATGTAAGCATCATGGCCCCCTTGTCCAGGCAGCAATTCGGTGTGAACTTGGCCAGGGAGCGCTACTATTTCCTGCTTGTGCGCAAAGAGTATTTGACAGGGGAGCTGGCAGCTATTGCTTCCAAAACTTTGACAGATTTGCGCAACAAGTTTGACCATTGCGAGCCATGGTGGGGTGCCCAGGGGTTTGTATTTCATAGAAAGCGTTTACCAATAGATTTGGTGTGCCATTTTTGGTGACCCTTTATGTCTCCAGGCAAACCTTCTTGCTGCCAAATGATCATCCTGCGGTGGTGGAAAGAAAGGACCCATAGACTACAGTTTCACAGAGGATATCATGTTTTGTCACAGTGTTCGGCAGGAAAAGAAACAGAAGCCGATGAATCAGAAAAAGTATTGCGTAACGAACAAGCACGAGCCTTATGGTTTGATGTTTTTTGTGCTTTCCATATGTTTGCCTGCGAAGCTTTCATCAGAAATTTGGGAAGGCCAACCACAACAGAACCAAAGTGGAGACACATTCACTGGGAGTACATGAAGGACAACGAGGTGCTGCCACACAGTTGTTTTGGGAGTGCTTGTCGTTGTTGATGCTGCTTGCAGGTAATCAAGAAGAATTTGAAAAAGGATGTTGACCATTGGCAGCAGCATTTCAAAACACCTCGGAATTGTCAGGCTCCTCTTGTTGGTTTCAAAGAATGCTAAATTTAGACCAGCCCACGCTTCCGCTTTTGCAAGGCAGTCGCCATTCTGTCTTCTGTGAAGCCAAGTTGGGCTGTGTGCGACCTTTCTCAAAACCTCAATCGCATGCCGGTTGTGCTTGGCAATGGGGCTCCATTCATGTGTATTACGCCTGGACCTCAGCCTGGCAAAATCATTGTGTGTATGTACCCTCTGGCAATCTAAACAGGCCTGGTGGACACTACTGGGTCCGCGAAAAGAAACGCAGTTTGCTAGGCAAGGATGTGTGGAGCAGTTTGCAGTTAATGACTTGTTGCATTGAAGGCTGTTCTGAAAATCAGGCTTGGAAAAATTCATGCTGATGGGCTTTCCGGTCCACCTGCTAGATGTCGACATGATCTCTGACCGGGACAATCTGGCGTGTTTTCAGTTTCAGAGTTTGTTAGCAGCATCAAACTCCTCCCAGAACCCTTCTCGCGCAGCATTTCATTTTCACCGCTCCAGGTGCTTGGAGGTATGGCAGGCAATGCCATGCACATCCGTGCCATTGCAGCCGCCTTGGTGTGCGTGCTCAAGGCAGGCAAGTGGCTTGCTGCCAGTGTGCTGGCTGCAAGTGTGTTGGCTGCATGACTTGCTGCCAAGTTTTTGGCTGCAAGTGGCTTGCTGCCAACTTGTTGGCAGCAAGCCCAGGTAGATAACTATTATGTTATGACTATTTCGCATCATCGCTGTTCCTTTGTCTCAGGCTCTTGACGTTCCAAAAATGGCCATGCCAAGGACACAAACAAGCTCACTTTGGTGTGTGTGTCTAATGGCCTGGCATGAACAACTCAGTCTAACTAATGGCTTTGTGCACTAGGACGTGAATCGGACTGGCGCTGGCGTACTCGACGATCAGTGGGACGCTCAATGATAGACTCCAAAAACCCAATTGCATCAGAAATTGCTTCAGCTGATTGTTCCTTTTGTGTTTGGATAGCATCCAGAGCTTCTTCCAACATGGTTTTGGCTTTGGTCATCTTCTCGATGCAAGTCCGGTCTATTGAATCTTCCAACTCCTCAGCTTTTTTCAAAGCCCCTGCAATTGCGTCTTTGGCCAACATCACCCTATGTTCCATTGCGGGCAAACATTGGGCCAGCATCAGATCTTCTTGCAGGTTCGCGAGATCATCTTCCGCCATCATCCGGGAAGCTGTGGGCTCTGTCATGAAGCACAGTTTCAATCTGTTGCGTCGACAGATTTATGTTCATATAATGTTCATTCTTATAAGGTGCTTGGAAGGTGTTGGAAGCAGCACGTGTTGCCTCCATGTATTTGATTCATGTGGGCAATTGATGGGCATGTGCGCTCTTAAAGACATGTTGATTTTACTTGGATCCACTTGATATGGCTTAGTGAAATTTGGCTCAACATGATGCTGCTGGCTAAAGTTGAAGATGGTGACCCTAAAGCTGCCAAGAGCAGCAGGGATCTCATCTGGGAATGCTTTCAACAAGTCATAGTCTTAGAGTTTGCTTAGTCCTACAAATCATTCGATATCAAGTCAAGGCTTTCGCATTCGTCATCAAGGTCACAGCCAACACCAACCTGGGCACCTGGCTCAATGATGAGTACGGCGACCGCACGAAGATGAGCGCAGTCCTTGACAGAGTGGTGATGGATAGACCTTGCAAGGAACCCATTCCTGGTTTGGTAGCAATTGAGCCATTGCATACCTTGAACGAATGCTTCATTGGGATCGATCAGCTGGACTATGGGCAAAATGCCAAACATGGTTGCTGCTAGTCTCAAACCTTCTGATGCGCATTCCAACCAATTGCAAGTTCTTGTGATTGAACACCGCGAACCTGCAACTAAGACTTTCCCCACATGGCGACAGTGGCAACTCACTTCAAGAACATTGTCTATCGCAACTTCGACCCGTACCGGGAACCACTGTGCATTCGGTTCGTTAGCACAGGGGAAAGGACTGTGCAACCTTTCTCTGTCAAGTATGTGGATGGGTTCACAAAAGGGCTGATCTGCCAATCAATAGCTGCAATTGTTGACAAATTGGTTTCTAAGCCGCAATTGAAGGGAAATAGGTGTCATTGAGCCAACATCTAAGTTCAACATGTTTGCTGTCCTCTCCTCGATTGCAAAGGGCATTCCGGAAGAAGAGCTCGACAGCGATGACCTGAAACCGCTGCTGCTGAGTCTTCGCTTCTTCAAGGCGAAGTACACTCACATGCCCAACCAGGAGGATTTTTTTTTACGAAGCACTGCGTGCTCCACTCAGAAATTGCCAGCAATCATCATCCATTGTGCTATAAGTTGTTATTGGCTTTAATGGCCAAGGACTGGGGCAAGAAACAGCAGAGAAGCAACAGCCATCCGCACTAGATATGGTTGGGATCTTCGATCAAGCAGTGGCCGCATTTTTTCAGCGCAATGGGCGCAAAGTCTCATTTCAGAGTGCACTGAACTCATGCATAGCAGATTTCAACAAGTCAGTGAAGGTTAGAAAGTTCAAGGTGGATACGTTGAAACGTAAGATCATCACGAATTTGTTGAAAGTCCCGAAAGAGTCAGTTGCCATCTTGGCAGCTCACTACGACCTACACCGGCACAGCTCTTCAGGTGCGCGCTTCCACCCTTTCATGTCTCTATTGTGTGCAAATGCGCAATGTGCAAAAGGTTTGCCTTTAAGTCACTATGCTGTGAGCTTGATGGATGCACATCGCTAACTCAGTGGGTTCAACAAACAAAAGACAAGTAAGTGTGAATACAACATCATGAATTATTATCAAATGCGAACTGATAACATATACAAGTTGTCAACTTCAGACTTTTGAGTAGCAACTTACTTCATCATGGGCAAATGGCGGGCCGGGACACCATCGCGGAGCAGAAGCCCAGCCCCGAAACCAAGTGTCCTACGTCGATGGAGCCCTTCTGATGAATCTTCCGATGATTCTTCGGATGATGGTGCTCTTCCAACAAAGAGCCTCTGCTTGTATGCAATTTCATTTTGCACTGATCTTGCGCTTGATTCACTTTAGTCTTGCTTTTGCCATTCAGGAAACCACAGATTAGCGCAGACCTCACTTTGGCCAATTTAGCTGCCCTGAAAGCTTCTTCGCATGATAGTGACTTAAAACAAGAGGGGAAGTACGCAGCCAACGGTAAAGATCAAAAGAGGATCAGGTCTGTCCTCAAGTCACAATCTGCGAGTGGATGCAAGTGCAGGCGTGAGCCTGAAGCTTAGTTTTTCATGCAACATGTGCAATGTGAATGTCAACCATTGATGAGCATTGGGCCAAGTGTAACTTTTGCTGAAGGTGTTGGAAGAATGTCGCGTTCAAGGTGCTCCTACAGGTCTGTTTGCTGTTCTGGGGCTTGTCCAAGCCCGGCCAAGATGCTCTTCTGTGGTCTCTGCAAACCAATAGCGTTCAGGGAGACAACAATAGTGACGAAGATGATGATGACAGGTCAAGTGACAACAGCAGCAGCAGTAGCAACCGCTTACAGCATCATGTCAATTGGTATGTGGGTGGTACTCGTGTGTGTCGGCGGGCATTCCTACGCATGCTTGGTGTGGGCTGCAATCGGATCAACCGAACCCGTGACCGATTCAAAGGACTCGATGAACGCACAGTAACAGGCCGGGGAGGGAAGTGATAAATAAAGAATCTTCAGTCAAAGCCCAATGTTGAACGATGAAGAATCTTAGTTCCTGCAAGGTCGCCAAAGCCATCGTCCAGCTTTGCAAAATGCTTCGGTCCAGAACTTCATGATGAAAATGTACTATTCCATTTCAGAATCCATGCCGACTGGGTGACTCTGCTAAATTTTGCCCTGCAGCTGCTCCTTCCTGCAAGCGTGTGTCAGCCAGTCGCACACTGGCAGACATACTTTTTCTTGCCAGCTAGCTGGCAGAAAAAGACAAGCTGAGCGCCAGCTAGCTGGTGCCCAGCCAATGTATGTTGAACTTACATGCCACCATGAGAAAACCAAGGCTTTTGAACAAGTCGATGGATTTAGACGATGAAGCCACTCGAGCAAAGCTGTTGGCAGATCTGATGCAAGACGCTTTGGAGGGTCCGACATCAAGAATCGCAAAATTCAACCCAAAGCTCCTCGGCGCACGTGAACTTCCTCCAGGGAATTGGCAACAACTCTACATCCTATATGTAGCTAGTTGCACTGCAAATGGAACAGAGAGTGCGAGTCGGTCAACCTTCTATGCAGTGACTCGACCGTGGAGAAAAACCTTGAAGTTTCGTCATCGGTCCCAGCACTCAGTTTGTGGCCTTTGTGACAAGATCAAGGCAAGAATGAGGGCCTGTAGAGACTTTCGATCTCATGCCCAAGCTGCCGATGATTTGTTGGGGCATTTGACTATGACTTGGCGATGCCGCCAGGCATACTGGCAGGCTCGTGCAGCCTCTCGATCCCGACAAGACCTATTGCGCATTATCTTCGATGGGTTTGACAAAAGCAAACCAATGCTTCCACGTTGGAGCCACTCTCGTTTGCCCAGAATTCCTACCTTCGAGCGGATTTCCAGGACACATTTAGCTGTTTCTGCAACACTGGCACACGGCTGGGGCTGTGTTGTGTTCCTGGCAGAAGAAGGGGTATCGACTGGAGGAAGTTATTCGTGGGAAGCGCTGTTCGTCACTATGTCTCTGTGTTGGCAAGCTGCCAGAAAACGTGGGATCGCATTCCCTTCATCGTTTCTCACTTTATTTTGACTTTTCGTGTGGACATCAAAAATTCCACAAACTCATCGCATTGAAAGAAAATTCTCTGAGGCTTTGGGTCCAACATGATAATACGGTCAAAGAGTTGAAGAACGGACTCACTGGAACTCTATTATCATACCTTTGCTCCTCGAATTTCTTCTGGGAGACAACACAAATGATTTGCCATTCCTGAGGTCTGGAGGTGTGTATGCTCCAGGGTTGGTATGTGCGAATCTGCCTCCCAGGGGTGCAAGAGGACCACCCCACCACTTGCAAGTGAGGTTTCACCGGCCCTAAAGGGGTGTGAATGATGTTGGTGTGCCAGAAAGCTGGTCGACGTGTTGTTTCAGTTCTACTACTGGGCTGGGCCAGTTGTGTTTTGCTTGTAAATTTCCTGCCCGTGCGCAGGTTTTCCCTACGAGGTGGTGGCCAATGGCCATTTTGTTCCTCAGAACGATCGCTGCGAGTTGTCCCGGTACCGGGGTAAGGCTGTTTGGAAGGAAATCCTTGACATCACACCTGATGTTTGCACCCTATACTTCAACAGGGTGCATACTATGTTCAACTCCGCTGTGACTGGAGATTTCACCAGCAAAATGAAGGCGCTGATGGGGGTGGGTTGTGTAGTGTAGGGATGGATGGCAAATAGTTGGTCGAATGCGCCTGACACTGAATCCCGTCCCATATCAGTGTTAGCACCCTGTCAGAAACAGCAGCAGCTCAGCCTGGACACCCACGAGAACATGATCGATGGGATTTGCCTTTGGGTGTGGTTGCGGCCCAAGATCGAGGCCCTGGTGTCTGCAGAGTACATGACAAAGCTGGAAGATATGTTCTTCCAAGGGACCCTTGTCGGAAGTTGGGATGAACCGACCAAAACCCGTCACACTTCTAAACATGACATGGGGTCTCGAATCGTGATGGGATTTTCAAAAATCCCGTCACAAATCATAGGTCTGGGGCAAGTTTGATCACACTCTGATATAGAAGTCGAGGGGGTAGATCGTGATCAAACTCTCCCCAAGGCTAGGTTTTGTGATGGGATTTTCAAAAATCCCGTCGCGTCCGGGCATAACAGTGGCTACCTCGAAATGTGATGGGTTTGGAAGGCGAAGTCAAAATCAGACAAAATTTTTTGTCAGCCGATTTATGATGGGATTTTTAAAAATCCCGTCGCAAAATCGCTTGCAAATTTTTTTGTCGGCAAAAACCCGTCACAAAAATCCGTGCAAATTGTTTTGTCGGCAAAAACCCGTCACAAAAATCCGTGCAATTTTTTTGTCAACAAAAACCATCACAAAATCGCTTGCTTTTTTTGTCGACAAAACCCCGTTACAAAATCGCGTGCAGATTTTTGTAAATTTAAAATCACAAAAACACGTTGAAATTTGGGCCTTCACAAATCCCCTTGAAGCTGAGGAGATACCGCCAACTCTAACTCTTTAGTGAGGCACTGAGTGAAGACTTTGGTTTACCACCAGGATCAAACAAGAACTCTCTGAATTATCAGTCAGTGTCACATAAGCATCAAATTGGTGTCATTATTTTTGGGTTCTTTGTCCATTGGCCATTTGTAAACCATATCCATTTGGTAGCTCACATTGAATCAATTGGGCGCAGACTTTATGGCAAGTTTTTTCGCGCATGAATTTTGTTGACATTCAATTTGCAAGTTGTGTAACCAGGTGTTTGTTAACGAAACAAGCTGCTGATTTTGTAGCGGAATCTTGTTGACCAGCCAATTTGCATATGATTTTGTTTTGGTTTTAGATAATATGCAATAAACATAGTCATACTATTTAATGAAAATGTTTATGTGTCAATGCATCACCAGGTAGCTTTGGACGTGTTTACTTCACACACCACACAACGCAGCTTGGAGAAACAAGATCTTAACATCATGTGGCGCTTGTGGCTCACAGGGCAGTTCCAAACTTGGCTCAGGCGGTACAACATGATAGGTTCACTCTACAACATGATTGTGGCCCAACAATGATTCCAAATACAAATATCTCTACTGAGTCAAAAGGTTTTAAAGTCTATTATATGTTCCAAATCATTGACTGCAGCATGTTTACTTAGCAACTAGCTCCAGGACCTGAGCCAGAAACGCAGCCATGATATCTCCAACGTCCTTGTCTGACACGACTGTGCTCGGAGGCAGTGATGAAGAGCCTACAGTCCTACCAACCATGCCCAACCTGATGGACCAGCCGACCTTCTGTGGTGAAGAACAACCAACCCTCTTCCATGACGAGGCCTCGACTGATGAGGATGATAAAGCTGAGAAACTGTTGGAACAGCAGTTTGCAGAAGTGAGCCAGGAGCAAAAACGCGCCAAGTTTCGAAAACTGTGGCATCAATGTGCTACTAAACCTGATCAAGACTTACACAAACCAAAGGATGATGCACGTGGCCAGTCAGCCCTCCCTCAAGAAAATCGCCAACGACCAGGGTGCCAGGTGAAACAAGTGGATGGCTTGACTGGAGAAGAGCAAGTTTCGCATCGAGATGGACATGCTGAACAACCAGATGGACAAGAACAAGACGTCCCGGAAGCACTACCTCCTGTTCATCAAGATCTACAAGGACCATTGCGCCAAGGAGGGCAACAACATGACGAGATGCAGATGCCTTTGCCTGTTGATCAATCTGCGCACCAGCCAAACGCCAAAGTGCCAAAAGATGGGCAAGTTTCGTCCAGCAAATCCAGCAGCTCTTCACAGATGCCACAGCCACCGAACCCACAAAAGAAGTTTATCCCCACTCCTGGCAATGCTCAAGAAGAACGACTGCGCCTATTGTTGGATAAGAAGAATCAGCGGGACGTAAAACGAAAGAGAAAGATTGCTGAACAACGATTGAGAGACAGGGGCTCTGCCAATTAGTTGGTGGCAAGCTGCGACTGAAGGTTTGGGCTTAAAAAAGGGGCGACAAACGACAGAAGAGTGCAAACATGTGCAAACACCTGCAAACGTAACAAAACTGATTTGTAAAATTGCTGGTCCCCATATGTCCCCATTTCCAACTGTATCAGTGCAAGCCGTATGCAAGTGTGCCCCTGATTTTTGCCACCCTGACAGCTCCTGCCTTCGCTTGCATCCATCCAGCCAAGGACATTGGACACTGACCTCAACGTTGTTTGCAAGGCTGCCCAAGCGGAGTGGGACTGGCAGCGAATCCCATTCATCTTGGAGGTGTGTATGTGTGTGTTGCGCAGTCAGACATGTTTGATTATGTTATATTTGATTGCTAGCTAGACGTCTAGAAACTTGGACAGGCATTCATTGACTGAACCAGTTGGAACAATGTTGCAGTCACAACGGGTATGCGCTGACCTTTTCTATTTCAAATTGTTACCTGTTTTGAATGGCTTGCTCGGGTACTGACATCTTGCAAGGCCATGGGTCAGTCGAAGGAGGCCTTCGTTGTGAACGCCCAGGCTAAGAGCAAAAACGCATGGCTTGCATCACAGCAAGCTGCAATGCTGGCCTTCAAGTCGTCTTTGTTGGCTGATCAAGCCTTGTTTGATGCGCAACGGATCAGGACATGCATGCTCACTCATACACAAACCAACAACACTTGTTTCTTTCACTGAGCATCCAGCTTGCTCGAGCTTGCTGAAAGCCAGTCAGTGGCAGCCACTTCACTGAGCATCCAGCTTGCTGGAAGCCAGT